TCCATTGTATATATGTACCACATCTTTTTTATCCAGTCATCTACTTTTGGGCATTTGGGATTGGGCTGCTTACATGGCTGTAGATTTTATAGCTGCTTTTCCAGCTTCTGAGTAAGGAGACAAGACATGTCAATTTGTGGGTACCTGACTTCTTCCTTTGCTTTACTTATCATGATAGGGAGTTTAGAATACCTGCATGCAAATTGACAAGTAAGCGCAGGACCAGAAAGAAGATTTGGGAGGAGAGATGAAGAATAGTTAGAATGTTTAGTATCAAATTAAATTTTAAAAAATTTGAGAAAGCATGCAGGGATATGCTTGTTAGGAAATTATAGGTGGAATGCAAAGGGAAGAATTCTACTGAGGTAACTATTATGTGCAGGTTTAGAAAGAACGTCAGCTCAGAGTCAAGGCAACTGGAAGCCTTTCATATTTTAGGCATTACAACTTTTTATGAATTAAAAAAGTAGTTCCACTAATTGAAACTATTTGAAATAAGAACTGGCCCTCTCGTTAAGCTGCACTTACAGTCTGCTGTCCGGCCCCTTGGGCAACCTGGGTTTCTGCTCCCCACCTCTCCTTCCTGAGTGCTTTTCCCTTGAGCTGAGAGGGGCTGAGAGGGCACCCTTTGCCTTCATTGTCAGTGGTTCTCAAGGCTTTGATGTGGAAAACAGCTGGCCATGCTCACCTGCCGGAACAGAAGATGAAGAAGACAGGTCTCAGGGCTGCCCAGAGCCAGCTGGCCACGCGCCTCACGACTGTTCGCTTTGCTCGGCCCAGTCTTTGCCTTGTACCCAGATTGTGTCGTGTGTACTGTTATAGCTTTTCCTGATTCACTTTGTCTCACGTTTTAAGTTGAGTTACTTTCATGTGTCCAAGGCTTCTCTGTGTCCGGAATGTTGTGAGAGACAGAGAGGGTGATCCAAATACTGGTTCTCCTTCCACATTTTTTCCCTCTTCTAGTCATTGGAGTTTGACTTCTTACCATAAAGACATGTAGAATTGGGTGTCTGAAGTTCGGAAGATTCTCTAAGAGGACAAAGGAAATGTGGAGCCTGACTGGCGTTAACCCATGGCTGCCCCCTCAGGGTGGCATATGCGCCAAGATCTGGTTAGGGCAGCCTAGCAGCCTGGCTGTGGGAAAGGCAGTTTCAGAAGAAATTTACAAAATACAGGGAGTTTACAGAAATACAGGGAAGAATGATGGAAGGAGAATGGATTTATACGCACACTGGGATGAGCAGTACTGTCTGTTTCCAATGTTGGGTCCAACACGTGACCAGCCCAGCAGGTCACTGTGCGGTGGTCTGCGCTGCACTGGGCATGACGGGGTAAGATAAAACGGTGGGGAGAACTGAATCTCAGAAGCCTGCTCCTGTGGTTCTTGAGGATGTTGCTGCTACTGCAGACGGAGACCAGGCTAAAGTAATGCAGCTAGAGCAGAGACACATAGGTAAGGATTTGTCTGAACCTCATGTCATTCCTGCAATGGGATAATGAAACAGAACAAACTAGGGGACTAGGCTTGACCCACTGGGTGGCTCCTCATCCCAGAGGGTGCCTGAAATGCAACTCAAAAGCAGACACATTGTGAGAAACAACAGTAACTGGGGAGTGAGGAAAGGGGGAACTGGGGGGCACGTGAAAGCAATGATTAGCTGCGCAGTCCCAACCCAGATAGTGTCTGTAGAGCAGAAACCCAGCGCCAAGGCAAAGCGAGCAGGGACTTCTCCACGGACACCCCTAATCACCGGGGGTTTAACTGCCGAGGCACCAGCTGTTTAGCTGCCCCCCACCCCCAACAGCTTTCTGGCCAAAGCAGCACCAGCCGGAAGCACAGGCCTTTGTGGGACGGAGGCCCGGAAAGCCCGATGTCCTCTAGCGCTGTCTACGAGCGCCACCCACTGGCTCAGGTTACTCCTCACTGGCCCTCCTCCTCCACGAGGACATTGAGTCATTTTTAAAATTATACATACATACACACACACACACAGACACAGACATACGTGTGTGTGTGTGTACACACACTCATAGGAAGAATGTCAGAAATCAGAAAGAAATAAAAAGTAATTGTAATAAAGTGAAAACTAAAATCACTAACAGCTATAAACAGAGACATTGTATGGGGGAGAAGAGAATAGGACAATTGAGTTCTTTAATAATCAACTTGGATTTTTTTCCCAGCTCCAAAAAGCCGACTTCAAAACCGCCTCCTCTTCCACCTGGCTCACAAGGTATTTATACTCTCATTTCACACATTATGCTTTGAAAGTATTTTCGAATAACCTGCTGGTGGCCCAGCAGGTTAAAGCACAGCACTATGAAGCTATCGCAGCCACTGCAACACAAGTTGGATCCCCGGCCAGGGAGTGACCCACAGGGCACAGCAGACCTCTCCAGCCTCGCCCACTGTGCCCCTCAGCAGTGGATTTCAGTAGCTCTGCCTCTTTTGCTCCCCACTGTCTCTGATGAATCCTCTCTCTCTCTCTCTCTCTTTCTCTGTCTGTCATACACGTACACACACACACGCAGCACCTCTGGCCTGTACCCCAGTTCTGTATGTATAAATAAATAAATCTTTAAAAAATAATAAAATATTTTTCTTTTTATTCCTTCTCATTACCAACAATGGTGAAAGATAACTCAAAATTCTTATTAACGGCATTTTTAAAGTAGGTGGCATGTGGGCTTTAATTTTATAGGATTTTCTCATCCATCACTGTTTTTTTTAAAAGATTTATTTTTATTATTATTTATGCATACAGGAACTGGGGTATAGGCCAGAGATACAGGGGCTGAGAGAGAGAATTCACCAGAGACAGAGTGGGGAGCAGGACAGGCAGATCTACTGAAATACACTGCGGAGGGGAGCAGCCCGGAGACAGGAGAGGTCTGCTGCGCCATGTGGGTCAGCTCCCTGGCGCACTATGGAACTCAGGCCACAGTGCTGGTGATAGCTTGATAGTGCTGAGACTTAAACCTTCCATCACCGGGGAGGCCCAGCCATCACTGTTCTTTATTGTATTTGGAGATGTTAGGTTTTAGTTCTTCATAAACAGTAGTCACTTAAGGTTAGTTTGAATATATTCTTTTCTCGTAGGAAACACACTCTTGTCCTGACTCCTAGAACTAATCACTTACTTTTCAGAATTACCTTATAGCAATAAAGCATTTTGTTCATCATCATAAAGTCTGAATGATAATACTTCTGCAAATTATAAAAGGTGCATGTTAATTCTATTAAGCAAAAGAAATGCAAATAAGAAAAAATAGGAAACAACTTCTTTCATACAACATTCAAACTTTTGGTCTATTATGGCTCCTTTCAGGATTATTTTTACGTGCATAGTTTATGTTTTCTGCCCATTTATTTGTCTTGCAGAATGGGGCTTGTGCTAAATATGTAGTTTTTTTTTTTTAAAAAAGATGTATTTATATATTATTTATTTATTATAATATAATTATTTTTACATCATTTTGTGCATTTTTCCATCTCAGTTGTAATCCTCTTCAGTTTCCCATCACCAAATCACCCATGTGCCATCACCATAGTCCAATGCATTTCCCTCCCCCCACTGTTTTGATCCCATTCCCCACTCCACCCCCACAAAATGTCTCTGGTATATAGCTGTTCATCATTATCATTATTTTCTCGCCTGGCCTGTTATATTCCTGCTGTGAAAGAAACCATCTGGTATTTTTTCTTTTCTTTCTGGCTTATTTCACTAAGCATTGTTAAATATTTATTTATTTATACTTAGAGAACTGGGGTATAGATCAGAGGTGTGGTGAGTGAGAGGGTTCACCAGAGACAGTGCAGGGAACAGAACAGAGAGATTGAAATACACTGCTGAGGGGAGTAGTGGGCAGGTCAGGAGAGGTCTGCCATGCCATGTGGGTCAGCTCGCTGGCCAGGCCTTGGAGAACCTCATAATGGGGTGCTTTAACTCGTTGCACCACCAGGGAGAGCTCTAAATATGTATTTTTGTATTTTGCTTTTTTCTCCCTGCCTTTATACTATGAGCATAATATAGTCTTCAAAACCATGACATTTTAACTTTTTTTTTTTAAGATTTATTTATTTATTCATACAGAACTGGGGTACAGGCTAGAGGCTCAGGGTCGGTGAGAGGCCCCACCAGAGACAGAGCGGGGAACAGAACAGGCAGATCGACGAAGTACACTGCTAAGGGGAGCAGCGGATGGGTCAGGAGAGGTCTGCTGGGCCATGTGGTCACCTCCAGGGCAGGCGGGAATCGAACTCATGCGGAAGTGGCTTTAGCTTCTCAGTGCTGTGCTTTAACCTGCTGCGCTACCAGGGAGGGCTGACATTTTAACTTTTTTAAAAAGATTTTATTTATTTATGCATACAAGAGCTGGGGTGTAGGCCAGAGGTACAGGGGCTGAGAGATAGAATTCACCAGAGACAGAGCGGGGAGCAGAACAGGCACTGAAACACACCGCTGAGGGGAGCGGCAGGCGAGACAGGAGAGGTCTGCCGCGCCCTGTGGGTCAGCATCCTGGCTGGGAATCAAGCTTCTACTTCAGTAGCTGCAGGTAGCTTGATAGTGCTGAGACTAACCCCTTGTACCTCTAGGGCGGTCCCTTAAAGACATTTCTGGCGCCAAGGATATGTCTCCAAGAGCTATTTTCTTTCTTATTCTGAGAGGCAAAGCAGAAGCACAGGCAGCAAAGGGAAGTTAGGAGAATGAGGTGCCCCGTGTCTATTGTAGGTGTTGCTTTCTCTAGCCACTGTGTGAGTCTTCACATGTTTTCTTCTCTCATGATTTTAGTTTAACGATGAGAAGAAATTGATGAACTTTCACCAGAATCTTCAGGATATCACAGAAGACCAACTCAGCTTAGCCTCCATACATTATATGCGATCTCACTACCAAGAAGCTATTGACATTTATAAGCGGATACTGCTGGATAACAGGCCTGTGCCTTTTTTTTTCTTTTTCAAGATTTATTATTTATGTATGCCTACAGAACTGGGGTATAGGCCAGAGGTGAGAGGAGGTGAGAGGATTCGCCAGAGACAGAGTGGGGAACAGAACAGGCAGATCTGCTGAAACACACTGCTGAGAGGAGTAGTGGGGTTACAGGAGAGGTCTCCTGCACCCTGTGGGTCAGCTCCCTGGTTGGGGATTGAACTTGTGCTGCAGTGGCTGCGGACAGCTTCATAGTGCTGTGCTTTAACCCGTTGTGCCACCAGAGAGGGTCAATCTCTGTGCCTTTTTAGCCCCACTCATATCTCTGGTTCTGTTAGTTCCTCTGTAATTGGCTGAGAGAACCTAGAGCCTTGTGGTGCTAAATATCACCAGGTGTTTGCACCTGTTCAGTTGGTAATCTGATGAGAGTAATAATCCTGTTCTCCACACTTGATTTCACTATCACTCTTTCACAGAGCCTTTTTAGACTCTCTTTTCCTTATCATCCTGCCATGAAATTTTATTTTTTAAGATTTATTTCTTTATGCATACAGAACTAGGGTACAGGCCAGAGGTGTGGGGGGTTGAGAAGATTCACCAGAGACAGAGTGGGGAGCAGAGCAGGCAGATCCACTGAAATACACTGCTGAGGGGAGCACTGGGTGGGCCAGGAGAGGTCTGCTGGGCCATGTGGGTCAGCTCCCTGGCCAGGGCTTGAACTCGCGCTGCAGTGGCTGCAGACAGCTTCCTAGTGCTGTGCTTTAACCTGTAGCATCACCAAGGAGGGCCCTCTGCCATGAAATTTTAACATCACAGGATACCCTCTGTCCGTCTATATACACTCGATATCTCTAATGCTTTCCACATTGTAAGAGGACAGTTTGCCCTCTCTCCAACCCCATGAGAACCAGTGTTCATCTTTCTGTGGATGAGATCAACCTTTTGAAAATGCATGGGCTAGGTGTGTCAGTGTAGCGACATGGTGGGGGACTTACTGGCAAACTCAGAAATAAACTGCTCTGAAGAATTAGCATCCACCTTTGTCATGATCACGTGGCCTGCCGCCCAGGCCCTGACTACGCTGCGTCCTGCCCCTTCCGGTCTTGTCTCCCCTTCTCGGCCTCCACCCACCCCAGTCACCGGGTCTGCCACTCTGTCTGCCCAGCCTCCACGCGGTGTGCGCTGGTGCTCAGCTAAGCTGGTGCTAGGGTTTTTTGCATCTTGACAGGTGTGAGTTGAACTTTTCCATCTTTCCTCTGTTTCTCATCTATTATTCTACTTACATCAAAATATCAAATATTAAACAAAGAAAGAGGTACTGATTATATCTTGCCTTCTTTCCCCAAGAGATAAATTCATGCCCTCTTTGCTTTGTTGTATACTAGAGCCATTAAAGTGTTTGTAGTTTGACATTTCCGTGAAGTAGACTTACATTAACTCTTAATTCTTTCATCTAACAGGGAGTACCTTGCCCTCAATGTCTATGTGGCCCTGTGTTACTACAAGCTGGACTACTATGATGTATCTCAAGAAGTTCTGGCAGTTTATCTTCAGCAAATTCCTGATAGTACCATCGCACTCAATCTTAAGGCCTGCAATCATTTTCGTCTGTACAACGGCAAAGCAGCTGAGGTACTGGCGGATATGTGTTTTTAACTTACTTAATTACTATTTGAATTACTTACATTCGTGAAACTCATTATTCAGTCCTTTTATCATTGTCAGTATAATTCTGTAAGAGCCTGGTTATGTGAATATTTATCACATAGTCCAAAAAATGCTGACTTCTGAATTCTTCGTGTCTTCAATATACTGTACGTGATCTTTAGATAGATGCCTTCCTTTGGCTTAATATGTGAAGACCAAGCATTTCAGCTTCTTCCTCTAAAATATAATTGTGACACTGCAATTGAATGGCACCTATGTGTAAATCACATGGGAAACCTCAGTCCATCACTGCCTTCTCCTTCATCTCTCATCCACCAGTTCCCATCAGCCCTGGGTCTTGTCTTACCTATCTGAAGGTAGACCTTCCTGGCCGCTGTTCTCATCCGGGGGGGTTCCCATCTCTTTGGTTTCTCTTCAGTTTTTCAAACATTGTCCTACCTCTTGTTCTTTCCACTAGTTTGTTACTTACACAATGAACTCCTATCACCACCACTTCGCATACACCTTTCTCATTTCCTGCAATGACTTTCTCTATTTGGCACACATCAGTTTATCCTTTCAGCTTATCTCCAAGAGGTAATAGTGGTAGACGTGTTATAAATATCTAGAAATTAACTAATTCGTGAGCACTGTGCAGGATACTTTCTGTTACTTAATTTCTGTGATAATTTTATAGATAAAAATCTGTGACAGCTCTCATTTTATTGGAAACAGAGAACACAGGAAGCTGTATATTATGATTCCTTCTATGTTAACATTTTATACACACACTTGCCTATGCTCATAAATATGTATATCCACCTAGGTAGGTAGATACCTGGTTAGATGAGAGCAGGCTTGTTCAGTACTGTCTCAAGATACCTTACACACAGATATCTTTAGGTTAATCCTATTCAGGATTTACCCTTACTTTAGGAAGGTGAGGCCACCAAAATGTAAAAACTTCAGCCTGTTTCAAAGTTTTAAAATCCCATCTTTGCCCCCCCAAAGAAGTTCCAGCTGTTACGCCACCCTGGAATGGGGAGAGAAGGAACAGAATTCAAACGGACAAATTAATGTTTCCAGAGCAAAATTTATTGTGAAAATGTAATGGAAAGGAGCACTATTACTCTGCTCCACGCTGACAGGAGGTCTGCTCCCAAGGGAAACAGGGTTTAGTAGCTGAAGGAGAGACAGAGATACTTGTCCCAGATTTACTTTTGTGCCTTATATCAATAAAGGTGGTCAGTTGTGGCAAAAGAAATGCCCATCAATTAAATGGCTTACCAGGCAACTGAGTCTATTTATATATTATATAAAATATGTCTTGGATGTATGCCTCAGCTAAAGAGTCCCCTGAGTCTGCCTGCTTGGAAGGTTTCCAGCAGAAACAGTCAAAGAGGAGGGAGGAAGAGAGGGTGGAGTGGGGAGGAGAGAAGGGAAGGGTATTAGCCCTGGAGTTCTGGTGCAAGGTGAGGGTGAGTGAAGCATGTGTGCATAGGAAGGAATGAAATTGTACCCCCAAAATTACATAGTTATGTAAATGATGTACTAATAAAATTTGAGGGAAATAAAATATGACTCTAGAATCATATTCAGTTGGCATTCTGATGGGAATTGCATTAATTCCGTAATCAATTTGGGAAATATTCATAATACTAAGTTTTCAGGTCTATTTTTAGAAGTTTTCCCCTGTAGACATTCTTTTACTTCAGTAATGTTTTATAGTTTTCAGGAGGGTATAAATTTAAATGTATTTTTTCCCCTAGGTATTTTATTATTCTCAATACTACTATTAAATAGAATTATTTTCTTAATTTCATTTTCAGATTTTCATGACAAATAACTAGAAATTTTTATACATTGATTTTTATGGATTGCCCTATAACTATCTTTTTAAATTTCTTGGAATTTTCAGGAGTATAGGATTATTATTTTATGAATATAGTTTTACGTCTCCCTCTTCAATCTGTACCCCTTTTATTTCTCCCAGTTTTGTTTAATGGTCTTGGCTAGAACATCCAGTAGTATGCTGGACAAAATTGGTGAGAATGGACATTTTGATATATTCAATAAATAACCAAAGGGCAGAAGGTATTTTAATTGTGTTATGTTTAAAAAAAATAATAAAAGGAAATTCAGCAATAAGGGGGTGCTGTGGCCACTGCAGATGTAGATGGAACGGTCAGCTTGAAGAATTGACCTCAGTGATTAAAAGTTTTGCTCCATTATTACCTTCTTTCTTCGAAAGAAGACTAACTCTAGAAGCTCAAACTTCAGTTTCAAACTTGCTGCTTATTGCAAGGTTCAAGTCACTTAACTTTTACAGGCCTCAGTGTCCTCATCTGTAAAATGAGGGTAATAATTATGACAATTTCTTAGAGTCCTAATGAACAAATAAAATAGTTTAGAGTCTTTTTAGTTATAAACCATTGCAAATAAGTGGGGTAAGAACTATATACACGTGTCGCTTTCATAAGCCTCTCCTTTTCTAATTTCAGGCAGAACTAAAAAGTTTGATGGACAACGCTTCTTCATCCTTTGAATTTGCTAAAGAGCTCATCAGGCACAATCTGGTGAACATAATTTTCTGTCTTTTTAAATTTGTATGGAGGTTACATGATAAAAAGTTGAGGTGCGCAGTGTACAGTTCGCTGCCTGAATGTGCCACATTATGACCACCACCGGAAATCTAGTTTCCATCCTACGATACAATTGGCTCCCCCCACCCCCTTTACTCTAGCTTCCCGCTCTAGTTTCTCCACTAACTTGAGTCCTCCCCTACTTTGGAGCATCACAACAGTTAGAAAGATTCATGAAGGGAGCTAGCTCAGCAAACATTTCTTTACCTTGTTGTGGAGGAAAGGAGATGTATCTAAGTACCCTGAACTGTCCCCCAGGAATCACCAGCAACAGCAGAGGGGGGGCTGCACACAGGCAGAGTCATGAAGAGCAATGAATACTGATACTCCTCAACTTTGTGCTTTATTTATTTTTTAAGATTTACTTATTTATGCATGCAAGAACTGGGGTACAGGCCAGAAGTGTGGTGGGTGAGAGGATTCACCAGAGACAGAGTGGGGAGCAGAGCCAGCAAGACTGAACTAAAACACACTGCTGAGGGGAGCAGTGTGAGAGATAAGAGGGGTTTGCTGCACCCTGTGGGTCACCTCCCTGGCTGGGGATCGAACTTGTGTCGCAGTGGCTGAGGATAGCTGTGTAGTGCTGAGACTTAACCCCTGTACTATCAGGAAGGCTCTCAACTTTGTCATTTAAAAGAACAACCCAGACAGTTGAAGGACAAAGGAAACAAATTTTTGCAAGAAAAACTACTTGGCACCTATTAATGTGTACAACTTAGTCATCAGACTAGTAAGATTCCGTTATTGTGTTTGGATAGGCCTGCTTGCCACTTAAAATGAAAAATTAACACAAGGCCACTGAATATTCTTCTAAGGTACTAGAGTTATTAATACCACGTAATGCAAGCGTGAAGGCACAGTTGTGATGTGGAGCAGCATTCTGTTAACTAGAATTGTGTAGAAGGTCTACAGAATTATAAAGTTACACTATAGATTGATCCACTGAAAATTTTACAAGAATGCTGAGAAAAGTAGGAATATAGTTCAATGAATAGAACTAAAATCCATAGTGACTAGGAATTGTTTTAAATATTTCCAAAATAACTCGTGGCATTAGGAATCTCTTTCTCTTTAGTACTCTAGTAGTACAAAAGTAAAAATATTACAAATCTGTAGAAAATGAAGATGTGTCCTTGCAAAGACTAATAAATGACGTTTATAGTAATTACGTTCCAGGGGTTGAGTGTACAGTAAACAAAGTTCCTGTGATACAGAGTTTATATCCTGGTGGGTGTTAACCAACAAAAGACATACAAAGAAATACAAACACTAAAACAGAACATATAAAGACATACGTAAGGCAAAACATGGTTATGAAGCACTTAGAAGGGGGGTAGCGCAGGCAGGTTTTAGGTAGGATCTAAGTGAATGAATTCCGTAACTGCAACAGGGTTATTCAATGGAAGGGTCAGAATCAGAGGGGCAAGAAAAGAGATGGGAAGAAGCACAAGCAGCAGTTGCAATAATGAATTCAGTGAACGATGACTGCTTTCTAGACGGGAACTGATCCCAGCGCTGCCTTCAGGTGGGCGTCAGGTACCTAGTGCCAAGCGCCTGGCCTCAGAGTGCGCTGGCAGCTGCGTCTGCGCTGACGCTGACGGCCGCTAGAGCAGCTTCTCTCTCTCTCTAGGTTGTCTTCCGAGGCGGCGAAGGGGCTTTGCAGGTTTTACCTCCCCTGGTGGATGTCATTCCTGAAGCCAGGCTAAACTTGGTGATTTACTACCTTCGTCAAGGTAAGAAAGGTTGGTCTTGGTCTTGCTTGTAATGAGATATTTTAGAACACGGAATCTCGTATTGAGCTACTTGATTAACTTTTTTTTTTTTTAAATAATATGGTAGGTTATTTTTCCATCATTTTTTGTGCCTTTTTCCATCTCAGTTGTAATCCCTTTGGGCTTCCCATCACCAAATCACCCATGTTGCCTTTTAAACCCCTGTTTCCAAAACATATTTGCAGCAGTTTCAACAGCAAATATACTGGTATTTATTAGGTTTTTCTTTTCTCTTTATTCTTTCTCCTCTTTTGGAGAAACCTCCTTTATTCTTTTTCATTTCCTACTGTTTTTCTCTTTTGTTCTCTATCTGTTCTACCTCAGTTTCCCCATTATCTTCCCTCCCCTCCCCTGGCAGTTCCCTTGTTTTCACTTTTTTTGAGTCTTTATCACTGTGTTTATTTGCTCTGTCTTTCTCCCACTTTTTGAACCACTGGCTTTTCATTAGAAATATTATGATTCGACAAGAATGTGCTGTTGACTCCCCCCACTTAAGGTTGAAGTTGTCAGACACATGTCTAAGCAGTCCTTGGTCTGACAGTTGTGAGTGTACCCATGCCACGCGTGGGTGGTGGCACGCTGTCATGGCCTCCGGCTAACAGCGTGGGCCTGCATAGGTGCAGGCCAGGAAGCAGCCAGGCAGCCTATTCCTCCGTGAGGAAAATGTAGGTGTTTATTCAAATGAGAACATGAACTTGCAAACAGTTCTCCTTTTGACATAAGCACAAAGAAATATGCCTTTGGATAAAAGTTTAAAAACAGCTTAGAAATCGATTTTTCATAGAAAACATTTTCAGACATAAACCAAAGTAGATAATATAAATGCCCAAAATGCATACCCAAGTATTTATCCCGGATTCACCAGTTTTCAGGATATTCCCAGTCTTCTTCATATACCCTCCTCCTCTTCTCTTTTGTTGCAGAAGTATTTTTAGGGCAAATCCAAGACTTTGTTTCACTCCTACATCTGTGTATCTCTTTTAAAAATGATCTCTCTTATATGACCGTAAAGCCATTGGTATATAATGCCTGGTTCATTTCCTTAGCTTGTATTTTTTTTTTTAGGTGATTCATACTTAATATGTATTCCCTAAGGTCCTTTGATTATCTTTGGGATAACTACTTAACTTTCACCTTGATGGAGAGGACAGATAAAGCAGATCCTATTTCCCATGAATGTTTGAGTACTGAAGGATCTTATCTTATGGGGACTGTTTCATGGAGGGTGCTGGCATACAGTCTAGTATAGCTCCGTGTTCCTTATATTTCAGATGATGTACAAGAGGCTTATAACTTAATTAAGGATCTGGAACCCACTACACCTCAGGTAATTGAGAATGTGTTACATTTTTACTAAGTTCTGATAAAAATAGAACTTTGTAATAGTAGCTGAAAGTCATATTAGAAAAGATTACTGCTGGGGCTCTCCCTGGTGGCGCAGTGGGTTAAAGCACCACATTATGAAGCTCTCGAAGCCACTGCAGCACAGCCAGGGGGCTGACCCACATGGCCAAGCAGACCTCTCCTGACCCGCCGCTGCTCCCCTCAGCAGTGCACTTGTCATTCAGCCTGTTCTGCTCCATACTGTCTCTGATGAATCCTCTCACCCCACCGCACATCTCTGGCCTGTACCCCAGTTCTTACATGCATAAGTAAATAAATCTTTAAAAAAATATATCTACTTGAGGACTTCCCTGGTGGCCTAGGGATTAAGTCCCAGGGCTATCTAGCTATCAACAGTCACTGGAGTATGAGCTTGACCCCCAGCCAGGGAGCTGACCCACATGGCACACAGACCTCTCCTGTCTCCCCTCCTGTCTTCCCCTCAGCAGTGTGTTTTTGTGGATCTGCCTGTTCTGCTCCCCACTCTGTCTCTGGGCATTCCTCTCACCCCCCGCACCTCTGGCCTATACCCCAGTTCTTATATGCATAAAATAAAACAAACTATATATATATATAATTTGAAAGGAATATAAGTGATGCCTTAGGACTCCAAAAGAGAAACTACTACCTTTCAAATGGAAATCCTGTTTAACAAGAAAAAGGAATCTCTAGCAAAGGTCTTATTATGTCATTGGAAATGTAAAATAATACACATGATATTATATATGACAATAACTAATAAGGTGAAAAAGTTATCATGCAAACATTTTACTGTTAATTATTTGCACCGAGTGGAAATAAAACTTAAAGACTCCTGAAGCTTTCCACCGAGTTACTTCTGCTCAAGATTGAGAATTTGTAAAGTGAATTCTGTTATATGTATACTTGCCTGTTGGAAACCAAAAGAAAGTCCCCTAATTTTTTCATTCATACTAAGGATAGACTAGAGAGAAGTGACACTGGATAATTTTTAATCATATGTCTAAAATACTACATTGGTGTAAATAATCACTGTGAAGGGCATCTCATAATGTCCTGTGACATTAACCATCGTTATTGCCTGTTCCAGGAGTATATCCTCAAAGGAGTGGTCAACGCAGCTCTTGGCCAGGAAATGGGCTCAGTGAGTATGAGTTCCCGGGTGCCGTAGTGCGCTGTAGTATGTAGAAAAGATCCAGACAGATGTCAAAATCCAACCAGCGGAAAACTTTCCAACAGGCTCTTCTGCAGGACCTGGTGCTTTTCCATGTCCCCAATCTAGATTCCATGGTAAAAAGAAATCTGTTATTAAAAGACAAAATAGCCATAACCTTAAGAAATGCATTTTGTTTAAAGAGCCAATTTTTAAAGTGTTTTTTCCCTAACAGTAACTAAATGTTGCATGGTTGCACTCTTATTTTATGTCACTCTTCTTTTCAGCCTTGTACTCCTCTGAGTTATGATTTTGGCATCTGTAAAGTGGGGATAATTGTTTCTCTGAGAAAGCGTTTTATAAACACACTACAATACTGTCCGATATGTATTCATCTAATATGGCATATTAGGTTGTTTTTGGAGCCAAGGAAAGTGTAGATGAACTTTTTCCTCCAGCTGACTTCACAGTACCTCACCTGGCAGAGAGCTCGTAGACAGTAATTAGTGGAATGCGTAAGTATTTATTAAATGCTCCTGTTATAAGCTGTATTACTCCTGTCATGAGATTGGATCGATGTTAAAAGAGCAATGAGTGTTAACTGAATGGCTGATAAGTACTAAATACTTCTGGGGCAGAATTTGGACACTGGGTTTTATTTCTTGTTTGCCATATAATCTTGCATAGGTTTTAATTGAGTTTCAAGTTTTCATTCTCTAGTTCTTATACTAGTAAGAGTCAGTATTACTGAGGAGGATTTAAAGCAATGTGTATATGTTAAAGCCTGACAAATATGTTAAAAGCATGAACTTTAATGAAATATTTTTAATTACTCCTCTATATCAGCTGTGCTTTGTTTTTCAGAGGGATCATATGAAAATTGCCCAGCAGTTCTTCCAGTTGGTGGGAGGATCAGCCAGTGAATGTGGTAGGTACGAAAGCTGAGCGGAGGCGGCACCTGATTCAGGTGTTGTCCGGAGACTTCCCTTCTCAGAGTGTGGGCAGAGGCAGGGGAGAGTGCTGGAATTAGCTGTCTCAACATCTCTCCTAAAGGAGGGTGAGAGAAAATATAAATAGTAAAAATAAAGGTATATTTAGTTCCTGAGAGTTCAGAAAATTTGAATCTGTTTTTTATTTGCATTTTAATTGTATTGCTTTTTTAAATAATATGTTTATTTTTACATCATTTTATGCATTTTTCCACCTCAGTTGCAAGTTCCACCTTGGGCTTCTCATCACCAAATCACCGTGTACCATCACCATAGTCCAGTGCACTTCCCTCCCCCCACAGTTTTTGATCGCATTCCCCACTCTACCCCCGTAAAATGTCTCTGGTATATGGCTGTTCATCATCATTATTATTATTTTCTCGCCTGGTCTGTTATTGTATTGCTTTTTAAGCTCTACTTATGTATTAGACTTTTGTCATGATATAATTATTCCAGCAGGTCATGTACCTTTTAACTTTATTTTTATTTATTTATTTATGAATATAAGAGGTGGAGGCCAGAGGTGTGGCGGGGAGGGAGGGTAGAGGATTCACCAGATTCAGGTTGGAGAACAGGACAGGCGGATCCACTGAAATCCACTGCTGAGGGGAGCAAAGGGTGAGACAGGAGAGGTCTGCTGCGCCACATCCGTCGGCTCCCAGGCTGGGGGTCAAAATTGTGCTGCAGTGGCTGCTGAAAGCTTCCTAGTGCTGAGACTTACCCCCTTGCGCCACCAGGGAGGCCCACTTTTATAACTTTATGTATGGTATTTTTCCCACATAAATATATAAATGTTATTTAATTAAATTTATCTTTTCTATTTCTATATGGGTATCAAACTTAGAAAGTGCTTTTTTTACCCTAATAAACCTAGTGCCCACAAGTAAGTTTTGTTTTTTTTTAAAGAATTTATTTATGTGTATAAGAACTGGGGTACAGGCTAGAGGTATGGGGGTAAGGGGATTCGCCAGAGACAGAGTGGGGAGCAGAACAGGCAGATTGATGGAAATACACTGCTGAGGGGAACAATGGGCAGATCAGGAGAGGTCTGTGGCACCATGTGGGTCGCCTCCATGGCCGGGGATCAAACTTGTGCTGCAGTGGGCTGCGGTTGCTTCATAGTGCTGTGTCTTAACCCTTTGTGCCATCAGGGAGGGCCCTAACCCCAGTTCTTCTTGTATGCATAAATAAGTCTTTAGGGGGAAAAAAGATTTCCTTTCTCCTTTTCATCCATTCATACAAGAGTTTATTGTGGTGCTGGGGATATAGCAGTAAATAAAAAAAGAAAAAACCTTCCCTTTTGAAGCATGCAGCCTCGGGGGACAGACTATAAAAATCGTAAAGCAGCAGCTCCTCATACAACAGCGCTGACGTGGTCGGCGCTACGGGGACAAACTGAACGGGGAGAAGCGTGGCAGACTGTGATGAGGCAGGTTACTGACCTGCTACCTCAAACAGGAATCTGACGTCAGAGCAAAAGTTGGGCCAGGGTCAGATGGGTCCATGGAAAACAATTTCTCTACTTGAGATAGGAAGTGCGAGCTTTTGGTAAAAGAAGGCTGGTGACCAAACGCATCAGTGGAGAGTACACATGTTAAGACAGGCGGAGGAATCAAAGCCTTGGGAAAGGCACTGGGGTTACTGTACCCCACAAGGCACGGGGTCATTTGGGCTCTTAGAGTTAACCCAGGAGAACTGGCCACTCTCAAGCACTGACCTCCGCTGTGCTGAGAGGTTTGTCCACTGAATGGAATCTGTAATTTCAGTATCAAAAAGATGATGGGGAATATATTTCTATCTCTAAACATAGAATAACACAAATTTCAGCTAAAAATATTTGGTTTCATGAGCACACATGGTTTCCTTTCCCCTTCCCTGTCAGATACAATACCCGGGAGGCAGTGCATGGCTTCCTGCTTCTTCCTGCTTAAGCAATTTGATGATGTCTTGATTTACCTCAACTCATTTAAGGTCAGTAGAATTTTTGAGATGACTTTGTATACGAAATACTATGTATATGATGTGTGCAGGTTAAGATAGTCTTGGAGGTCCCCCTTTTATTAATGGTGGCATTAGTTACTGTTTTGTCCCAACTTCTGTGCCGCAAGAAAGGAAGGCAGGAGGCAGAAAGGCTGAGCAAGCAGAGTTTATTGCTCCAGGACAGCAGCTGAGACGGAGCCCCTAGAGTGGGGTCCGCAGCTACTGCCAACTCAATAAGGGGGAAGGGTCTCTTATATAGGTCCTAAGCTCAGATTTCAGAGGGGTGACTCATCACTGTGTCCTTGATGTAAGGCCCAGTTCATTATCACCTTCATCTAGTCCCATCCCAACTCAAGGACCATCAATTAGATGCAAGGCCCAATTTATTACCACCTTATCACCTTTGGATGCAAGGCCTGATTTATTATTGCCCTTATCCATCCCTCAGTAAATCTCCACATTTGGTCACTCCCAACAGTTACATCCAGTAATTCCTTACTATTATTTTTGTTGATCTGGTGTTGGTGATGTTTTTGCATTATATGTTAATACTCATGTGACCTGTTCTTGGGGTGTCTTTCAGAGTTACTTCTATAACGATGACATCTTTAACTTTAATTATGCCCAAGCCAAAGCTGCAACAGGCAATACCAGTGAGGGTGAAGA